TGCCGGAGGGCTAATTACTTAACAAGCATATATAGGGAGGCACTTCCCCACCCAAACTGGGCTTCAAGTGAGCAACCTTGGGGCAACTCAAGAGCGGGATTTAGGCATCCAGAGGGGTGTCTAGAGTCTCCATGTGGGTTTGGGAGTCTCGTGGATAGTGCAATAATGTAGGCACTGTGCGTGCCTCATAAGGGAGAGGTTCACTATGTTGTTTCCATTATGCCACGCAATATGGCATCTTTGGGACTCGTTTTGGACCGAATAGGCTATCAAGGCACCACTAAAGGCCTCGTGTGCCGACTCAAGTGCTTGTTTTGGGTTCAACCTTGCACGAGGGGATCTCGTGGCTTAAGCTAAGCGGTTAGAAGGCGACACCGCATATGTGGGCTATCGAATAAAGGCATCAAGCTATGCATTGACTAAGTCCATCGAGGGACTACATTATGCTACAAGCAAGCTACGGATTGAGATGTTGCCTTACTCATGCTGTACGTTGGTGCAATGCTAAGGTGCGCAATGGCTTTAAGCGGAATCTAACACACGTGTAGGCACAGGGATTACGCCGTGGGAAAGAGATTGACCCTCGGTGGCTTGTGGGCTTCGCTTGACCAAGTGGCCATCCAATATGCATCTATTGAGGCATGCTCGACCCTATGACACTTCGAGATGTTGTTAAAGACCTAACATGCAATGTTGGCTTGTCAGCTAAGTCGAGGGCCTTCGCTAACACATTGTTGTGTGGCTAGGCACCTTGGTGACATAAACCTAAGTTGGGCGAGCACCTTGCTGAGGTAAGCTTGGTGTTATGAAGCGACTTATGCCGTGCTTGGTGCACTTGAGACGGTAGGTCTACTTGTGGCATCCGGGTGAAGACGGAGCTTCCTTGTGAAGTTGTTTTGCTTGACAAAGCATTGGGCCCTAATGTTCAAACGGGTGAGACCATCGACACTAGATTTGTCAACGAGCTATGGCGGGCTTAAACTTGGTGGAGTTTGAGCGCCACACGTGCGAAAAATTGATCCGCTGCGCCTCTAAAGGAGTCGGTCTGTAACAGTTGGTATCGAAGCCAGATCACTCATTTGGGGTGAGCTCGATCTAGAGCGGACATACAGCTATCTTGTGATATCATTTTTCTGCGGACCCCGATGCCGTTGTTTGAAGGAGTTATGCATGAAACTCATCCTGGGAGACGTGTATGACATCCTAGACTCTAAACAAGACCGCTGTTGGTTTTTTGGTCATGTTTGAACCGCAGGAGCTAATTGGTGATGTCTTGTGGGATCCGTGCCTATTGTGCTATTTTTCAGCGATGCCTTGAACGTAGCAACTGTTCTTGAGGGTGCAAATTGAGCAACATTGTGGCATCTAGTGTTTCCTTGCTAACTTGGTGTTTCCCTCTCACTTTGTGGACTTGGTGAGTATTTCTACACTGTGGGCACACTGTGGCGCGAATATGCTACATTTGTGGACGAGTTGCTTCCTAACTAGCAGGGTTGGCATGATTGTGTTACTTTGTTGGCTATATGGGAATTTCTATTGCAGTTTGGACTTGTGGAATGCTTGTATCAGATTGTGGGCATGTAATCTTCATCTATTGAGCCTTAGAGACGGATTTTCGTTGATAGTCGTGCACGTGCTATGGCATTATCACTTGTTCGCTTCAGGGGGGCCTATGTTTCGACTGTTCGTTGTGGCATATGCAACCTGTGCTTGTCAGTGGTTTTGCATCTTCAGACACATGATTGTTGACTTCTTAGAGGGTTTGTTCGGAAAATTTTCAAGACAAAATTTGAGATCTTGACTTTCGTGTGCAGTGGCACCGAGTGTACATGTTTGCTAGAGAGCGGGGTGGTGGATGAAATCACCGTTGTTGGAGGACAACCGTGTAGCGGGATTGTAAAGTCAAGACATAATTTGGTGCCAGGATCAGCACATCGTTTTGAGTATAGGCTACACTTTTCCAGAGAGCACGAGTTGAACAAAGCCAGTGGGCTTTATTTCAGCCGGAGGGCTACATTTCTAAAAGCAGCATTAAAGGTTTGAGTTATAAAAGCACATTCAGCCAGTGGGCTACACTTCGTTAAAAAGAGCGAGTTGAGCAAAGCTGGTGGGCTTTAATTTAGCCTGAGGGAGGATACACTTCTACAAGAGCATTGAAGTTTTGAGTTATAAGTACATATCCACCCAGAAGGCTACCCATTGCCAGATGACACGAGTTTGAGTCAAGCCAGAGGGCTTCATTTTTACTAGAGAGCATGAGAAAATTTGAGTTTGTAAAGGATGCATTAGACAAAGGGCTACAATTTGCCAGAGGGCTTCAGCTAAAGTGTTTTAAAGTTTGAGTTTGCTAGAGAGCAACAACCAAGAGGGCTTTAGAGATTGGGCTTGCCAGCGGACCTTAGCCAGAAAGCTTCAGAGGCATGAGCTTGTTAATGAACAGTAGCTAGAGGGCTTTTATTTCGCTAGAGGACACAGTACAGAGATACCTGAGTTTATTGAAGATATCAGCCAAAGGGCTTTGTGCTTGCCAGAGGGCATTGTTTAATCATTTTGAGGAGAAACTGTTGATTTGCATTGAGTCGACGATGGCGTCGACAACTCGAGTGGAGGAGGAAGTCATGATGCAATGACCCACTGCGAGTTAGCTTAGAGGAGCATTGGAAGCATGAGGGATCATTAGAGGAACATCGTCTAGACTTAGAGGAGCTTGAGTTAGCTCAGAGGAGCTTGAGTTTGCTCAGAAGAGTATTGACAAAGAGGCCATTTGAGAAGAGAACTTAGCATTTCAAGAATACTGGCAAAGGGCAGAGTTTAGAGACACTCAGAGGAGCTTTGGCAGAGGCCATTTTTAGAGAGGGCATTTGAGAAAAGTTTCCAACAGAGGGTGCAACAAGTGGAGTGCATTTCAACTAGATTAGAGTAGAGAACAATGAGGGGAGCTTGGCTAAAAGAGTTGGACGTTGAAGGTAGGCCATCAACACAGAGGTGTTGGACTCATCAGAGAAGCCGATACATGTAATGCAGCATCAGTTTTGTGCTACATCAATGAGGACGTTGATGGTTGGAGTGGAGGAGAGTGTCACGGGTTGCCTTGCAAGGCTAGCTCCGTGACGTTTCGCTCGCGGTGGTGTGGCCATTTAAGTGCCCAAGAGTGGCCGATGGAAGTGCCTCAATGTGGCTTAACATTGGCCCTAAGCAGCCCAAGGCATGCGGACCACCAGCAGTAGCAGCATCACACGGCCAGCAGCAGCAACAGCCAACAACACTAGCCAATAGTGCAAATTTTTGATGTGTTGTTTGTTCATCCAAATAAAAGAGTTTCGAGTTGAAATTTTTACTGGAAAGAGGTCTTAGGGGAAGTGTTTTCCCGACCAAGTTTCATGATTTTTCTCAACTTGTGGAATTTATGAAAAATCATTATGACTCCTTAGACATATTGATGTTTCCTCTTGTCAGAGGGCTAATTGCTTAACAAGTATATATAAGGGAGCAAGGTGTGCTATTTACCTACCTCCCCGCCCAAACTAGGCTTCAAGTGAGCAACCTTGGGGCACCTCAAAGGCGGGCTTTAGTCATCCAGAGGGGTGTCTAGAGTCTCCACGTGGGTTTGGAAGCCCCGTGGACGGTGCAATAATGTAGGCACTGCGTATACCTCTCGAGGAAGAGGTTCACTACGTTGTTTCCATTATGCCACGCAATATGGCATCTTTGGGACTCGTTTTGGACCGAATGGGCTATTGAGGCACCACTAAAGGTCTCGTGTGCCGACTCAAGTGCTTGGTTTGGGTTCAACCTTGCACGAGGGGATCTCGTGGCTTAAGCTAAGCAGTTGGAAGGCGACACCGCATATGTGGGCTATCGAATGAAGGCATCAAGCTATGCATTGACTAAGTTCATTGAGGGACTACATTATGCTACAAGCAAGCTACGGATTGAGACGTTGCCTTACTCATGCTACATGTTGGTGCAATGCTAAGGTGTGCAATGGCTTTAAGTGGAATCTAACACACGTGTAGGCACGAGGATTACGCCGTGGGCAAGAGATTGACCCTTGGTGGCTTGTGGGCTTCGCTTGACCAAGTGGCCATCCAATATGCATCTATTGAGGCATGCTTGACCCTACAACACTTCGAGATGCTGTTAAAGACCTAACATGCAATGTTGGCTTGTCGGCTAAGTCGAGGGCCTTCGCTAACACATTGTTGTGTGGCTAGGCACCTTGGTGACATAAACCTAAATTGGGTGAGCACCTTGCTGAGGTAAGCTTGGCGCTATGAAGCGACTTATGCCGTGCTTGGTGCACTTGAGCCAATAGGCCTACTTGTGGCATCCGGGTGAAGACGGAGCTTCCTTGTGAAGTTGTTTTGCTTGACAAAGCATTGGGCCCTAATGTTTCAAACGAGTGAGACCATTAACACTCGATTTGTCAATGAGCTATGCCGGGCTTAAACTTGGTGGAGTTTGAGCACCACACAGGCGAAAAATTGATCCGCTGCGCCTCTAAAGGAGTCGGCCCGTGACACAAGGCCTAACGCCACCTAATAATAGTTTCTTGATCATTTTCTTATTGCCAATGAGCTTTATCTTCTTGGGATGGAACTTCAAACTTGGTACAGCCTCCGAGAACTCTACCTAATAATAGTTTCTAGATCATTTTCTTAACAAGTAATTTAATTTAGGGTTATTTACATGGTTTCTCTTAAATAATTGAAAAGTATAATTTTAATTCATTAAATTATTTAAAAGTATCGTTTTACCCTGTAAAAGCATACAAAATGTGTGAATAAATTCATTTTTTTTTGTATTGAGAGATGGAAATGTTTGAATATAAGAGTAAAATAATTGCAAAAGGTGGTCATTCCTATCCATCAGCTAATCATTTTGTATGTTGCCTTTCGCAATTCACTCCAATCCACTATTCTCTTTTGTCTCTCCTTTTCTTCCTCTGCGTTACTTTATACCTTCTCTCTCTTTCTAGTAGTTTATTAATAGAGAGGGAGGGAGGGAAGGAGGGAGGCATAGCAGCCTAGCAAGAGAGGAGAGAGAGAGAGAGAGAGAACAACCAAAGGAATTAAAGGTGGTATTGAACTATAATATTGGGTTGTTGTCTTTGCTCTTGATCATCTTGATTTTCTTCATCTTGATCTTGATCTAATAATATCAGAGAGGAGAGGAGAAGAATGGCTTTTGCAGGAACAACACAGAAGTGCACAGCATGTGAGAAGACAGTGTATCTTGTTGATCGCTTAACTGCCAATAACCGAATTTACCACAAGTCCTGCTTCCGTTGTTACCATTGCAAAGGCACCCTCAAGGTACCTTATAATTGCCTATTACTCCCCAACCTCTCTCTCTCTCTCTCTCTCTCTCTCATCCCAATTGTTTCTGTTTCATCTTCTTTTTGCTCATAATTCTTGGAGGCAGACGAGCTTTGTGCACAGAAAAATGTGTCTATGTCATGTTGGACCCGCTGCAATGGTTGTTTTGAAGTATTGGTGCTTCATAACTTCGTAGTCTATTAAATTATAAGATTGGGTTTTTCTCGAGTTTAAATTTGAACTTGAGGGGCCATCGAGTCCACCATAGGTCCCATTTTGGTTATTCGAATTGTTTATTTTGCATGGCTCTCAATGTATATCATCAAAGAAAAAAAATTAAGTTGACCTGATAATTGTAAAATTTTTATTTTCTCGTGCTTGTCTTTGGAAAAAATTGACAAGTATATTTTTAAAAATAAACAATTTATTTTTTAGAGATAAATACGATAAAAATAAAAATGTTACATTTATCGGATTGACTTAATTTTTTTCCCCATAAATATCATATAAAGAGGTCATACAAAATGAATGATTAAGATTATCGAAATGGAATTTGAGATAGACTCTACAGATCTCTTAAAATTCTCTCAAGTTCAGATTTAAACTTGGAAAAAACCCAATCCAAAACTCTATATATCTTAAGAGGTAAAAAACAAGCTTTATGATTTAGGAACCATTCCACCATTTTCCCTTAGAGTGGTGTTTCAAATTTTCAATATTTGAAACCAACTAAATGACCTCAAAAATTGTTTCATGTTCTAATATAAGGCAGTACTTACTTAATTTGCAGCTTAGCAACTTCAACTCTTTTGAGGGAGTCCTTTACTGCAAACCTCACTTTGATCAACTCTTCAAGAGAACTGGCAGTCTGGACAAGAGTTTTGAAGGTAACACACCCCACAAATACAATTATTTCTAAATTTAAATAAAAAATGAATATGTTGATAATGATTTCTTTAGTCCTCAAATCTTCTAAATTTCCCTTTTCCACCAACATTTTTCAGGAACACCAAAAATCTTGAAACCAGAAAGACAGATTGATAGTGAGGTAATTAATTTCATTTTGCATGGCTCTCAATGTATATCATCAAAGAAAAAAAATTAAGTTGATCGGATAATTGTAAAATTTTCATTTTCTCGTGCTTGTCTTTGGAAAAAATTAACAAGTATATTTTTAAAAATAAACAATTTATTTTTTAGAGATAAATACGATAAAATAAAAATGTTACATTTATCGAATTGACTTAATTTTTTTTCATAAATATCATATAAAGAGATCATACAAAATGAATGATTCGGATTATCGAAATGAAATTTGAGATAGACTCTACAGATCTTTTAAAATTCTCTCAAGTTTAGATTTAAACTTGGAAAAAGCCCAATCCAAAGCTCTATATATCTTAAGAGGTAAAAACAAGCTTTATGATTTAGGAACCATTCCACCATTTTCCCTCAGTGTGGTGTTTCAAATTTTCAATATTTGAAACCAACTAAATGACCTCAAAAATTGTTTCATGTTCTAATATAAGGCAGTACTTACTTAATTTGCAGCTTAGCAACTTCAACTCTTTTGAGGGAGTCCTTTACTGCAAACCTCACTTTGATCAACTCTTCAAGAGAACTGGCAGTCTGGACAAGAGTTTTGAAGGTAACACACCCCACAAATACAATTATTTCTAAATTTAAATAAAAAATGAATATGTTGATAATGATTTCTTTAGTCCTCAAATCTTCTAAATTTCCCTTTTCCACCAACATTTTTCAGGAACACCAAAAATCTTGAAACCAGAAAGACAGATTGATAGTGAGGTAATTAATTTCATTCGAATCTAGATTAATTCTTGTTTTTTTACTTGAAAAAAATGTGTTATCTCAAATACTTTTTTGCTTTATTACGCTCAATTTTTTAGGCAAGTTTTTGGCTCGAGCAACCGATAACTGAAAGGCAGCCCAGTGTACAAGGCTCTTGTTACTGTGAGATCTGCAGAGGGAGTACATAGCCACTAACTAAAACATGAATTGTATTTTGCAGAATGCAAACAAGGTCTTAAATGCGTTTGCTGGTACCAGGGATAAATGTGTAGGGTGTAGCATGACTGTTTATCCAATTGAGAAGGTAACACGCACATAAATTTATGTATGGTTTGATCTGTATATTGTGTTTAACCTAACAATCATTCACCATGGTTCCGTGTATAGATACATTATGGATATGTCGATATGATTTTTTTTTTTATTTTAAAAACGTATAATAAATAGCTAGATACATCTATAAAAAGATATATTTTTAAAATTTGTGACAGTGCATGATATATAAAAATTAAAAATCAACTATAAAAAATAGTTAAAACAACGTACAAATTAGAATTCCATACCAATTAACAAAGAGAGATAACTGAGAAAGAGATAGAAACTCAACTGATAGGGAGAGATACGATTGTTCAATTTGTAAAGACTAAAAAAAATCGCGTTCTCTCAAATTTGTAATATTTGCAAAAACACCCTTTAGTTTTGGAGTTTTTAAACACAAACATAATATATTTATTTTACTTACCCTTTCATTTTTTTGAGATTTTTGCAAAAGTACCCTTTATTTTTGGAGTTTTTAAATATAAACACAATATATTTATTCTAAAACCTATATATTTTTAAAAAATTACATATATGCCTCAACATACCTATAAAAGTACCAATACGTATCCATCTAGTACCCAACAATTTTTTTTTTTTAAAAAAAGGTGACAGATACATATTTCTCGCATTCGTTGATATTGAATACATACCTAGTACTCATACAACATAATTTTTGGAGTAAAATATATTGTTTTGATGTGTTCAAAGGTGTCTGTCAATGGAAGTGCTTATCACAGGAGTTGTTTCAAATGTTCGTATGGAGGTTGTACCATAAGCCCATCCAATTACATTGCACATGAGGGAAAACTCTATTGCAAGCACCACCACATCCAACTCTTCAGGGAGAAGGGTAACTACAGCCAGCTTGAGGGCGACCTCGAAAAAGAGTCCGCGCTGGATTCCATGGAGATTGCTGCTGAATCATGATCCTCTACTATTGAACAAATTCTCCTCATTCTCTCTCTTGTTTGTTTTCTCACAACATCAATGTTGTTGTCGCAGTGTTTTAAGGAAGCTTTCTTTGCCGAGTCCATAATGGTTTTATACGGTGAGATGGGTTGGTTTTTGTCCTTGGGCTCTTGAGTGAGTTTTGTGGAAGCTTTTGGTTTAAACTAATTGTGTGATGACACATTGTGCACTATATATGGAGATTGTGTTGTGTTGATTCAAATTTATTAGTTTTTTTATTTGTTTGATTTTCATGGTGTTACATGTCTAGGAGAAAAATATTTCGAAATGTGTTAAAGAAATTGAAATCTAATGATTGGAATCACTAATCTTAACTAAGTTCTTGCTATGAGATTGGAGATTGGCTGGATGAGGTTGGCTAGCTGTTTGGTTTACAATTTTCAAAAATAATTTTTTGATTTTTCAATTCCTATTTTTATATTGGAGAATTTTTTAAAGATTTTTGATATTAAGATTTTATAAGATAAATGACATACAATATTTTCATGGTAGTTAAGATCTCTTAACATTTTCACAGAGAAAATTCGACTCAGAGAAATTTTGCCCTACATATAGAAATTTCTTTAATTTCATTGAGAGACCTTAGCTAATAAAAAAACATCTTAGCCCTTTCCTACTGCACAAAGTTATAGAGGAATGTTTCACTAATTTTTCCTTTTATATTTTTAGTGACATTTTAAAATATTTTAATCATGTTTTTTTTTTTAATTTTTTACATCCACTTAAACTTAATATATTTAAAAAGTATAAAATTTGTACAAAATTTTTAAAAAAATTCATTAAATACAACAAAATACAAAAGTGTACTGAATTTTTACATATATATTTTTATTTTGGGTAAACTACCAGTCGGTTCTAATAATTGGACTTAATTTTCATCAAGTCTTATTAAAAATAATTTCTAGTAAAATTATCGTTAAAAAATAAATTTTTTGACAATTTTTTTGCGCATGTCACGAAAAATTGATAATTAATAATTTTTTTTGTCACGATTTTTATAATTGTCACTAAAACTTACAATTAGTGATATTTTTCTGTGACAATTTTTTAAAACTGTTGCTAAAACTTATAATTAGTAATTTTTTTTGACAATTTTCAAACTGTGACTGAAAATTAACAATTAGCTACGTTTTTTAATAGTGTTTGATATAAACTGCCATTAATTATCATAGAACCTATTGGACAATAAATCCATTTATCACTTATTAAGACCTCCACGTAAATCCCACATGAAAAGATAAATTACTAATAAGTTCTAATAGTTAGACTTAATTTTCATAAAATCTTATTGAAAATAAATTAATAAAATCGTTACTAAAAATAATATTTTATGACGCTTTCTTACATGTTGCTAAAAATTAACAATTAATAACTTTTTTATCATGATTTTTATAAATTGTCTTTAAAACTTACAGTTAGTGACATTTTCTATATAAATTTTTTTAATTGTTACTGAAAATTAAAACTTAGTGATTTTTTTTTTTTGTAACAATTTTTTTAAACTGTTACTAAAACTTATGATTAGTTAGTTGAAATTGTTACTAAAAGTTATTAGTGATTTTTTTTTTATGACAATTTTTTTAAACTATTACTAAAACTTATGATTAGTGATATTTTTTTGTAACAAAATTTCAAAACTAAAAATTAGCAATTAATGACATTTTTTAACCATTAATTATTATAAGACCTATTAGACAATAAATCTACATATTATGACCTATATTAAGACCTACATGTAAGTTCCCATATGAAAATTCCTCCCATTTATCTTGGAAAAGGAGATAGCAAAAGGCTACCAAACAAACATATGCAAAAGTTTCCAAATGGATAAACTTCTAACCGAGGAGATCTCTATTCCTTCACTAGAACTAAATGGTAAAAGCACATCCTGCCTTTTACCGAGCAAGAAATTTTAGCATATTTACAACTACAGGAAAAGTTGGCAAACAACATACATATATTATAAGGGCCTAGATCCAAAAAAGAGATGTCGTTCATCCATCCCAATAGCATGTGTCGTGAATTCCCATCAAGCATGGACCATCTGCATGTTTTGCAAAGAGAACAATAAATCAAGGAGGAAATGAAGGCAAGAGGAATTTCTCTATGAATGCCGGTGCAATTCACGCTACTCAATAATAATAATAAGAGAATGGTAGTGGGAAAATATTGACATGATATACGGCCAAAACCGAAGTCCTAGGAAAATTCGACATGAAAATGTTAACATAGTTCTTGCTTTTTTGTATTCAGCCGAGTCTTCACATCAGAATTTAGCAAGTCAAGTCGGTTTTGAGTCCAGATTTTTTTATTTTATTTTATTTTTAAAATTATTTCATCTATGATTTAATTATTTTCCACAATCCAAATGATTATTGGAAAACATGGCATAAATAGCATCAGAAAGGATTCTTAAAAACTGCTTCAATAAATAGAAAAAGGAAGAAGAAAATAAATAAACAGAAACTGATTGTTTGCATGTGGGGCTTCTATCCAATGTTCACCACAGCCTGAACATCTGGCCAAATATGAATTTTTTTTAAGATCTTTAAAAACTGAGGATGCCCTAAATATATTCGTGTATTTAAACATAATAAACGGAAAAGGCTCTTCATTTAACAATTCGTACAAAAAAGAGGCTATTCATCTAACAATAAAAAGGGACAAGGATTATTGAAGAACATGATGATGATTAGATGTTCCTTGATGCAACTAAAAACCCTCAACTAAGATCCTTAAGCAACTAAACTTGAGAAAATATATAGAGCCCAATAAAGGAGAAACAATTGGATAAAGACTTTACCGTCCTTGGTGTATTTCTTCCTTGCAGTGTCTTCATTGCTGCTTCTGCAAAAGCTTGTGCCGCTTCTGCATCAGCTTCCGCTGCTTCTGCTTCCCTTGCTGCCTCTTCAGCTTCTGCTATAGCTGCTTCTGCCTCGGCAACTGCTTGGGCAGCAGCCACAGCAGCCTCTTGTGGAGTCATGCTCCTCATCTTAGCCAACTCTAAATCGACCTGAGCTTTATTTAGAATGTTGATATCATCCTTGTCAATTTTTGGAGAAGCCCTCTGCCTTCCCTCTAGTAGTAACGTGGACGAGTTTCTTCTTTTATCCGATAATGCCAACGGTGGTGCAATTCTGAACTTTCGTTTCATCTGCAAGAAAATAAACAAAGGTATCAACCTCGTAAGCAGATAATTACCATCAAACACTGAAACCAACCAAATTTGCATAGAAACAAGTTCAGTTTAGGTTCTATATATGGCTGTAAGATCAAGGTGAAGGTTGAACAATTTTCAATTATTACTACGTGCAATAAAAAGATGAAACTGTGCAAACCTTTCAATAATTGTTGATTGACAATTATAGTGACATGCATAATCGATACAAGAATTGCACATCCATATGGGCACCTTCCTTTCAAGACAAGGATTGTGTGAGACATGTTTTATCCACTTATCTATGAACACGACTACCTCATCTGTGAATGGAATGATTTCTATCTATCACCTTGGTAATTTAATGGTGACACCCACAGCAGATAAAATGGCTTTGAAAATTACCAACAAAGCTGGTTGATAAACTGTAGTATAAAAGTTACCATAAAAATTTCCTGAATTGTGAAACTTTTTCTTGTTTTGATAATAGTAACTATAAAAACACTAATAATGGCACAACCAATATACATGCAACGTATGTAGGAGCAGACAAAACTACACTCCAATCATAAAGCTCAGAACACCTATAAACTCTACAAAAGAATAAATATAGGGAAGCTCCCATATGACCAAAGTGAAATAATTAATCATGGACTAAAACGTGAGACTCCATTTAATTTCCATTAAAGCATAAATTTAAAGGTAGTGATGTAAAATTATGAGTGTCTCAAACAAAATTTGAGCAGGCCTGTTCAAGCTCGAATTGATGTATAACAGTACATATGTATGCCCTAGCTTAACAAAAATTATCAGGTGAGTTGGGAATTTCAGTGTGGCCGCGTGCCCATCCAATGGCATGTGGTCATGTGGTTACTAGTTCTCCATTTTTCCTGAAAATGGTCACATGTCCTTCTACTGTTGGGTAGGCACATGGCCACATTGTATCCCCGGAATGCCAGATGACTTCTCCTAGCTCAGGCTTATTTGAGTTCAGCTCAAACTAGAACCGAAAGGATAAGCTTGGAGAAAGAACTCATCAAAAGAGTGAATCATAATGGAAGCAGAAAATCTCTTACTAAACTGCTGCTTACCAGAACTTCTATCTATAAAACTTCCACCAAATGCTACAAAAAGAATCAGGAAAGAAGAAAACCAAACCCTTCTTCCAAATATACTTGCAAGCCTTAATTTCAAACCTTATTCCCAAACCAAAAAAATTAACAAAGAAAGAGGAAAAAAGGATGGATAAACTGCCAATAAGTTCTAATAGTTGGATTTAATTTCCATCAAGTCCTAATAAAATTGTCGCTAAAAATAATTTTTTATGACGATTTTTTGCATGCCGCTAAAAACCGATAATTAGTGATTTTTTTGTCACAGTTTTAATAAATTATTGCTAAATTAGTGATGTTTTTCTGTGATGAATTTTTCAAAGAGTCATTGAAAATTGAAAATTGAAAATTAGTGACCTTTTTTGGTGATTTTTTTAACTTGTCAGCTAAAACTTATAGTTAGTGACATTTTTTTATAACAAAATTTCCAAACTGTCGCTGAAAGTTAGAAATTAGTGACCTTTTTTTTAACAGTATTTGATGAAAAACGTCATTAATTATCATAGGACCTATTAGACAATAAGTTCACTTATTAAAACCTACACGTAAGTTCCCAAAAAGGATTATGTCAAACAAAGAAGAAATCTTAAGTGATTTGAACCCTTCATTTTTTCAAATGTTTTTCTCATCATAGAACATTTAGGTTAAAGCCCAAATTAATGGGCACTGCCCCACCCACCAAGGAAGCCTAACATATATCAACTTTGTTCATGAAGATATCAAGTTTACTCTAGCTTAGATTGGGCCCACTGAAACAAGTTTTTCTGTGACTAAGCATGGGTGAGCTATTTAACAAGCCAGGCTTCTGATACACATGAGATATAATGTTCAAAAAACCAGCCACAAAACTACTTTAATTACAAAATAGAAAGGAGTTAGGAGGTCCTCATTTGAAGTGCCAACATATGCTTTCTAATTTACCCATCACTAGATACCAGCATGGGCTCAGCTACAATGAAACTAAAATTTCTAAAGCAGCCTGAATCAAACTTGATAATTCAATCAGTCAGAAGCTACCTTACATATTCAAGAAAAAGTATCCAACATTAACCCCAAAAATTTGCTGCTCCTGCTACCACTAGTAAAAGAAGGGTGACCCAAGGCTCTGGCAAAAGCGGGGTCTACTATTATTATCCATTACTATATGTTAAGCCAAGCACAAATTTGATCTCTTCAATCTCCAACTTCATCTATACCAAAAGAAAATGTTTGATATTATTTTCCTAACTACCTACAAACATGTAAAAAAAAGGTTCCTAGTAAAAATTAAGGGGTCTAATTATTCCCCCCCCCCTCGCAGTTTGTGGCTAATTGTTTCCCTCTCATGTTTTATAGAACCACTTCTTTTAAACCACAAATTGACATGGAAGTTTTTTTGTTCAGTAGAAAAATGTTCCTCCTTGCATTTAGTTCTCATTTCTTTTACAATTAATATTTAATAACAATATTCAATGCATAGAGGCAATGCATGTGATGTTGTTCAGTAGTCATTAATTATTACAAAAATCATAAAACTCTATAATACAAATCATAAGGAATATCAAGCACATTAACACAAAAGGAAAATTTAATTAATTACTAGCAATAATGTCGTTAATGCTTTACAAAGCAAAATCGGCTAAAAAGGATCCATACAATGAGATTTTCTTCATCCTACTAAGAATATCCAATGGTTTACTTGATTATGCATTAATAAATAAAAAAATTCAACCATTCAAAAACCCAAACCTACCCTCCAGTAATTCCTTGCCTTAGGAACCAAATAAAAATTCCAAGTCAACATGCTACAAATGTTAGAAAATTACGTACAGCATGATTAAGCTATCTTCTAACTCAACTTCATAGCATCCAAGTAAACAGCATATCGCCAATAAATTTTAAACCATACACCTCCAGTACCATGTAATTACCTTAATCAGTTTCCCACTTGCAGTCAAAAACTTCAATTTGGCGGACAATAATCGTTTGAAGTTGGCAGGTGCCCAGTATTGTTCCTGTATAAGGAAAAAGTATTTTTTAATGATTATTATGATAACAATAAATTTCATAAATGCTTCTTATAAAACATAAACAGAAAAAGAAAAAGAAAAAGTCTTGCAGAACTTCTTATTAAACAATTGCATAGGATTCATCAACAAAAAGAAATCACATAAATGCTCATGCATCCTGAAATAATATAGCAAGCCAAACCATAGAGAAGGCCTATGGTCTAGCATCAGACCAGAACTCAACTCAACTCAACTCAACAAGCCTTTGTCCCAATTACTCGGGTTAGCTTCATGGTTTTATTTCCTCTCCAGTTGATTCTATTCGAAGTCAAATCCTAAGTTTAAGGTAATCATGTACTTCCTTATCATCTCAACCCATATTCTCCTTGGCCTTCCTCTATTTCTTTTATCACTTTCCAAGTGGATCAAATCACTCTTCTTTACATGCGCATCAATTGGTGATGCAAATGACATATCATCTCAAGTGGTTTTTCCTCAGTTCAAAGTTCTAGCTACTTAATATCTTTAAAAAATTATGTTATTCCTCTATGTATATAAAGGTTTGTTACACTCTCTTTTTGTTTTGATAACTTTTTGAGCCTCTTCCTTCTAGCACCAAGTTTCCTTAGATGGCTGCCAACATCCGTTAAACTCACCAAGGCTCTTTTGCTACCTTTTTATTTTAATACAACTAGCTTCTTGATCAGCACTTGTTTATTAAAGTGTCGGAACCTATGAAGCATGGACACGTCAAATTTGATGCCGTGGCGGTGTCGGACACGGGGACACGCCGGGAACATGTACGAGACACGCCAATTGGTGTGTCCTTTTAATTTAATCATTCTTTTGCCGGGGACACGGCAGGGACACTTGTGTCCACCAAATCTGGACACAAACAGAAGAGAAGACAAAGAGTAAAGGAGAAGAGAAAAAAAACCTGGCCGGCGACTTCAAACCAGTCGACTTCAATGACCTAGAAAAAACAATTGACTTCGATGACCTTCGAATCAATCCAACCAGTCGACTTTGATGACCTCCATCCAGTCGCGTCTCACTTAATCGCGTCTTTGACCAGATCGCATCTCTCGCCTTCTCGCTCTCTCTTTCTCACCCTTTCACCTTCTCTCTCTCTCTCTCTCTCGCCTTTTTGCCTTCTGTCTCGCCCTTTTTTCTGTCTTATATATAACTATATATGAGATATAATTATATATATCAAATTTTTTAAAGGCGAATGCGTACCTTGAGGCGTTTTACCCCTCATGAGGCGAGGCGTAAAGCCTCAAGGCGTTGAGGCGTAAGCATTTCAAATTTTGAATTTTAATGTTTACTGAATAAATTAAATATTTTTAAATAGTTAAAAAAATAAAAACAAAATTAAATATAAATGTGTAAATACTTCACTTTAATGCGTTGAACATTTTACTACATAGAAAGAAGTTTTCCTTCACTGAAAGAGAAATCAATATTCTTAACTTCAGTGATTGAGCTTCTCACTTGACCATGAACTGTGTTTTTCTTGATTGATCATTTACTTAATTTTTCCTGTAGAATATAGTTGTAAAAATGGATTCTTTTTAATTTTTTATGTTTAAACAATCTAATAGACTAAGTTTAACAAATTTCCAAGGCAACTTCTACATGTGCATACTCCTCACATGCTTATGTGCAAAAGGCGTAAAAAGCGCACTTAAGGCGCATGTCTAAAACTATGATGAACAAGCCTTTGGGGAGTAATGCCTAAAAATCAAAGCCTTGATGCGTTTTACCTTAGCCTCAAGGCGAGGCGAGCATCGAGGCGAGTCTCAAGAAAGCCTTTTAAAACTCTGATATATATAAGATATAATACTCATAATTTATATAAGATATAGGTCTCGTTTGGTAGAGCTGTGGGAAAGTGATTATAACTTATAACCTAACAGATTATAGTTTATAACTGTGAACATAAGCTGATTTTTGATTTATAAATTAAGCTTCTCCTCCCCCACTAAAAGAATAAGTTGATTTTTGATTTACAAAAAGCTATAAGCTGTATTGTTAAGCTGAACCAAACACATCAAAATAGCTTAAATTAAGTTAAAAGCTGAAATAAGCTGGAAATAAGCCCTACCAAACAGGGCAATAATACTTATAATATATGTATCAATGAAAAAACACATATTTTGTATCTTACATATTTATACATATTAATAAACAAAAAAAAACACATATATAATATAAAATAAAATAATTAATAAGAACACATTATTTAAAAAATAAATAAAATAATTAATATGTATGAAAATAAAAATATTTATAAAAAAAAAAATTCGTAATGTCCCCTGCTGTGTTCGTATCCCCATTTTTTGAAAATTGTCGTATCCCGTGCCCGTATCCGGGTCCAAGTCCGGGTCCGTGTCCATGTCCGTGCTTCATAAGCCGGAACCCTTGCCTACTTCTCACCACACCCGATCTGGGATTAAAGAACCATGTCAAGCCTAAAGCAAACAGGGATGTGTCACCACTGAAATAGGTAGGGCCCATTGGGCTATCCAAACTATCTTTCAAAAAGAAAATTAATAACCCATATTAAAGGGTCCAGTTGCCATGTCATTTAAAGGTGTCCACTGTCCACAAGTCATGTTTATTGACATTTGTGCTTATAGAGAGGCTAAAAATCCCAATTGACATTATCATAGGCCTTCTCAATATCCAACTTACAAATCATGTCTGACTGCCTTTTCGCAGACGAGAGTCAACAAACTCATTAGCCACTAACACTGCATCCAGAATCCGGCAGCCACCCACAAAAGTGTTCTGTGATTTTGACACCACATCCCCCACTTGCAACAGAACCCTGTTGGCCAAAACTTTTGCTAGAAACTTGTACACACTTCCCAACAATTTAATTGGCTGAAACTGGCGAATATCCTCAGCCCCTCCCACCTTAGGGATTAAAGCAATAAAAATCGCATTGAAACGCTCCTCAAACTGGCCTGTCTGTTTTTAGTATTTCGACTTATTTTATGTCGGTCCACGTCATTCCTGTGTCCGTGGCTTGTCGTTTGGAGAAATTGCAGCGAGATTTTCTGTGGGGAAGTGATGGTGGGAAGTCTGGGTATCACCTCGTTAGTTGGGAGCAGATTTGTTGCCCTAAGGAGGAAGGGGGTTGGGGGTGAGGAGGTTGTGTAAATTTAATTTGGCTTTGTTGGGAAAGTGGTTGTGGAGGTTTTCCAATGAATGGGATTAGTTATGGCGGAGGGCGGTGGCATCTAAGTATGGGTTAGGGAGGGGTGAATGGTGCACCAAGGAGGTGGGGGGTTCTCATGGGTGCGGATTGTGGAAAGAACCATGTCAAGCCTAAAGCAAACAGGGATGTGTCACCATTGAAATAGGTAGGGCCCATTGGGCTATCCAAACTATCTGTCAAAAAGAAAATTAATAACCCATATTAAAGGGTCCAGGTGCCATGTCATTTAAAGGTGTCCACTGTCCACAAGTCATGTTTATTGACATTTGTGCTTATAGAGAGGCTAAAAATCCCAATTGACATTATCATAGGCCTTCTCAATATCCAACTTACAAATCATGTCTGACTGCCTTTTCGCAGACGAGAGTCAACAAACTCATTAGCCACTAACACTGCATCCAGAATCCGGCAGCCACCCACAAAAGTGTTCTGTGATTTTGACACCACATCCCCCACTTGCAACCGAACCCTGTTGGCCAAAACTTTTGCTAGAAACTAGTACACACTTCCCAACAATTTAATTGGCTGAAACTGGCGAATATCCTCAGCCCCTCTCACCTTAGGGATCAAAGCAATAAAAATCGCATTGAAACGCTCCTCAAACTGGCCTGTCTGTTTTTAGTATTCCGACTTAATTTATGTCGGTCCACGTCATTCCTGTGTCCGTGGCTTGTCGTTTGGAGAAGTTGCAGCGAGATTTTCTGTGGAGAAGTGATGGTGGGAAGTCTCGGTATCACCTCGTTAGTTGGGAGCAGATTTGTTGCCCTAAGGAGGAGGGGGGTTGGGGGTGAGGAGGTTGTGTAAATTTAATTTGGCTTTGTTGGGGAAGTGGTTGTGGAGGTTTTCCAATGCATGGGATCAGTTATGGCGGAGGGTGGTGGCACCCAAATATGGGTTAGGGAGGGTTGATTAGTGTTACTAGGGAGGTGGGGGGTTCTCATGGGTGTAGGTTATGGAAAGGAATTTGGTTGGGTAGGGTTGGGTTTTGGGATCAAATCCAATATTGAGTGGGCAATGGAATGCGTGCGCGGTTTTGGGAAGATCGGTAGTGTTGGGAGATTACTTTATAGGAGCGTTTTCCTTTGATTTTTTAGTTGGCGGCGGATCCTAATGTGATGGTGGCTTCATATTTGGGTGGAGGAGGTGAGGCGCTGGTTTGAGATATAGTGCTTCGTCGACAGACTCAGGATTGGGAGTTTGGGCAGTTAGTGGATTTGTTGGCCTTTTGTATGGGGTTAAGGTTGACCGTGAGGAGGATGTTTTGGTTTGGAAGGCTCCTCGTGCGAAGGGTATTTTTTTCGTCTTGTCATTTTATGGGACTTTGTGTGGCGATGGTGGGTGATATTTCCCTTCGTGAATCGTGTCACGTGTGGGTTTTTGGTGTTCCGTCGAATGAGGCTTTTTTTGTGGGGACGGCAGCATTTGGTAGAATATTGACTATTGATAATCTAATTCGTCGGCATCATATATTGGTGAATTGGTGCTGCATGTGTTGTGCGGATGCGGAGACAGTGGATCATTTGCTTATTCACTGTCCGATTGCTTCTCGCTTGTGGGTGCTTGTTTTTTCTTTATTTGGCGTGGTGTAGGTGCAACCAAAGCAGGTTTTGGATGTGCTTTGTTGTTGAGGGGGTGGTTAGGTTGGGAAGCGCTGAAGGAGAGCTTGGGCGTTAGCTCCTTTGTGTTTGATGCAGTTGCTTTGGTTGGAGTGGAATCGTCGGGGTTTTCCAGGAGTGTGCTTAGTCGATTGTTCAGTTACAGTCTTGGTTTTGTGGTGTTTTGTACAGTTGGGTGTTGGGCTGGGTAGATCCTAATTTATTTGTTGTTTTAGACTTTGTGGATGATTTAGTTGGTTAAGTCCTTGTTTGAGGGGTTGGTTTTGTATTCTTTCGGCATCTCCTTGATGCTTTCTTAATAAATCTTTATTTATAAAAAAAAAAAAATTAGCTCATCAAGTGATCAAAGGTCATAAAATTAGAAAGTAGTATTCCTACAGACTTTGCAGCATATTACCAAATGAAACAGACTAACTGACAGCTGAAATAGGCAATAAAAAAGTAGACAACTATAAATTCTCAAAGTATATTAAGGCTCTGTTTGGCAACAGCTAAATAAGCACATTTTTTTTTTTCAAAATTGTCTTCAGTGAAATTTGTGTCAAATTTTTTAAATTCCACGTCCATCTAGTCTAGGAGCTTTTTTTCTTTGAAAAAATTCCAAAAAACAAAAAATTTAACTTTTTCTTTCTTTCTTAGTTGACTTCTTAAATAACTTAAAAAGTGAATTTTTTAATTTTTTTTATTTAAATCACTAAAGACCCCAAAATAAAAATCAACAAAAAAGCTACTAAAAAAACAATTTCCAAACCTAACCCAAGTAAGAATAAAAGTACCTCTATATATGTAGCAATAGTAGTCTTATTAGAACCACCAGGCTCCTTCAAGTTGTTTATGGCCTCCATTATAAGATTGTCCAACCTATAACAATGTGAAGAAAGCATACTGAGTTTTTGATAATTAGACCAAAAGCAGAAGGATATGAAGTCAAGTAAGAAAATACACAGATTCTCCAACCTATATAACTTTAACCCACTGCAGTAGACTTGTCCAAATTGCTAACAAACTTAGAATCACAAATCAAAACATAAAACTCCTAATGAGTTCCATGTGGCAAATAGCAGATGTCTATAGTAAGTAAAATGCTACAAGTATAAGATTCTCATGTGTGAGGATTTCTCAATTAAACTAGTTAAAAAACTTGTAATATCTTTTGGAGAAAAATACAAATAAATATCATTGTCTCAATTGTTTATTTATTTTGTTTTTTGGAGATGCTCATGTGTGAGGATTTCTCAATTCCACTCATTGCTCATTCTACAAATGTTTTATAATTTCAAAAGATTCAATTCTTCTCAAATTTTACTGGATAAATGTAAGAAACTGTTTAAACTAATTCCCGCAACACCATCATTAGGTTATTTCTTTCGTGCCATCTTGTAGGGTTGTAACTTTCCAGTTACAACAAGAACATAGGTTGCGTTTGGTAGAGTTTTGTAAACGTGATTTGAGAATTGAGTTGTATTTTGAGTTTGTGAGTCTTAGAATTATGATTTGAGTGTAGAAAATTTGTTTGGTTATCGTTTTTGAATAGAGTGTTGAAATGAGATTTGAATTGAAGTTGGAATTAAGATTTGAAAGTTTGATGTGACATGTAAAAGAAGAAAATGTGTTTGGTTATGAATTTTGGAAATAGTTTTCAAACTGTAATTCAAGTTATTATAATCCATAATCAAACACATAACTCGTAACTGTATTGAGCTTATTAGTCAACATTCATAACCAAACTCTTTTTTCAATACAAATCAATAAATTAATTAATAATTTTGCTCCCAATTCTTAATTCGTTTTAATAAAAAAAAATTTTGAATGAAAATTTTGTTCGTATAATTTGGCTCCACATAAATTTTTGATTCAAATAATTATGACCCAATTCTTTTTTTCCTGTTAATTTTTTTTCATTTCAATTTATGTTTTAAATTAATTTATTTTCCAATTACACTTCGTCCTCCTCTATATACACTTCGTCCTCCTCCACCAAGGCAGCACCAAATACACTTCCTGCTCCTGAACCAAAGCACCAGCCAACATACAAGATCAACATAATTGATATTCCCCTCCCAACGCAGTCTCTATCCACTAAACATTCAAACTTCTGCCTTCAAAACACTTATATCCACTGGACGTCTGACTGAGCAAGGCAACAACACAACCAGCAAGGCGGCGACAGAGGGCAGCAGCCGAATACAGCAGCAGGGGGCCGACCTGTGGGTTGGCCGGTTGGTTGACCGGCTGGTCAACCAGTTTCTGTAATTTTTTTTTTCTTTTCCTTCCTCGCAGTGTCCATATCTCACTTCATACCAGTTTAGCTCATCACATTGCATTTATTAACCTTAGTTAGTCACTTATTAACTCAAAGTTCAGAGAATGCTTTTCAGAGAATGCTTTTCAGAATTGTGTGCTGCAGAGAAACGGGGGGAAATTGTTGCCAAACAATAAACAGAGTTGTATTTTGAATTGTGTGCTAGAATTATGATTTGAGTTCTGTATCCAAACGTGAAGTGCAAAACGTGGTCTGGAAATATAATTCCAGAACACTTCCAAACAGAGCCATAGTTTCTTATTTACACGCTGCCATTTTTTTTAATCTCTTCTTCTACTTTAGTTGATAATTTCACCAGCTTGATTTAGAGGTCTAATGCATAAAACTATAGTGACAGTTAGATATCTACCTTTTTTGCGTTATGAATTAGTATAAGAAAGATACACCTAGTTATTGCTTTTTATATGGTAAATAAATAGGCTCAGGGTTCAGCATTAATAACACTAGATTCTTTTATCAAGATCAACAAAATTCCATTCTTGGTCACCAAATTTTTTTTTTCCAGCTGTTAACCGTTACAGAATTGCTTGAGCAAAAATGTCAGCATGTGACAAGTTCATTATTATCCCCAGAAAAAATTATGGAAATAAGAGTATGGTAACTCAAATAATAAGAATAATGCCTGACCTTATGATTGATCTTTTTGGAGCACCAATCTGTGGAGAACCACTAGAAACTGCAAGAGGTTTAGCATCAACAATTTCTTCATCACTTTGAACTACTGTACTAAGAGCCATAGCATTCTCATCCTCTTTAGGGGCAGGTCGCATCCTTTTTAGGGCTAACCTAGCCTTCTCTCTGGAGCCCCATCCATTAGCCATTACGCTCATGTTTCTCCATTTGTCCTAATTCACATAAGACCAAATTGATACACTATATACACAACAGTGGAGACAACTAAATATAAAGCAAAGAAAAAAACTAAATGGCTATCATCACCGCTCACCATACAAATCATTTGTTTAGAGAAAAACAAACCATGTAAAAAGTAAAAACAAACAAATAATGATTTAAGATATACCTTGAGATCAACATTTGAACGTAGGTACAAAACACCACTAAATTCTGGATCTTTAAGTATTGTACGCCACTTTCCTGCCCCATGTTTAACGACACCAGCTCTCAGAGCAGCTTCTTCTTCTGGTGTCCATTTTTGCTTAGGGGCACCCATCAAACAATAGCACAAAATCTCTCAGAAGAATCTAGTGCATTATTTATCAGCAGAAGATGTCGTCACCTGTGCCAAAAAAGCTAATATGATTCTAAACGAAGTCTAAAATAAGAAGACATTAAGCCCAAAATACAATATATGTTCAATTTGTTCGTAAGTTGGTCAGGACGAATAGATGATGAAGCAGTTCAAACACTCCTCTGTCAAATAAGCCTTCTGCTGACGTGGAAAAAGCTCTAACTTGGTTTTCCGTACGTATTATAGAATACGTCGGTGAAGCATTGTCACGCCAAGACCCTTTCTTAGTTTAGTGAGGTTCATCTTCCAAAACCAAATCATATCTCTTACACAAGGTTTTAAAAAGCGGCCGCAACCGTTACGTAACGCTGTTACGTAACGGTTGTGGTAGTTACCGTCACCTGTTACGGCCGCTTTTGCAGTGTGATTGAGATTTACAGGTGTGTCGGCCGTAGCGGCTGCTATAGCGGTCGTAATGGTGCTGTAACGGCCTGTAACGCACCATTATGTAACGGTTCTGAATTGTTTCTTTCGAAAAAACACAAAAAAACACAAAAAAAAAAAAAAAAAAGAGTTGAAAATAGGGGAAGAGAGAAGATGGAAGATGAAGAACAAGTTATTGATTTGTTGAAGCTGTAAGACCTATGCTATTCTATTCAGTTGCTATCACTCAACTATTTTGTTTGTGTCTATCTATATATTGTTCGAAAATAATAATAATTATAATAATAAGTGTGGTCATTATCTATTTGGCTTGATTAAAATATATATATATATATATATATATATTTAGACTTTTATTTATTCTTACTTTTGTCAATGTTTATCTTATATATAATAGTTAATGATTGATTTTTTGTATAATATAAAGTCATTAATTATTAAAATAAAATATAAAAAACTCAGTTTATAGTGATTTAAAAATATAAAATATATTGGATTAAACTTAAAAATTTATAAAAATTGATCAATATCTATTTTAAAAATCAATAAATATGATCATGGAAAAAAAATGTGCGTATCGGTAAGTTTTTTTTCAAATTTTGCGAAAAATAAAAAAATTTATGGTTCTGGTTACCGCAACCGTTACGCTACGGCCTTTACACTCCGCAACTGCAACCACGCCACCGCCACCGTTATGGCGACCGCAACCGCTTTTCAGAACCTTGCTCTTACATATCAATTGGCCGTAAGGCCCTAAAAGACCAAGCTAATGAGCAAGTGTTTTATTGATACACTTTCTTAACTACAATTCAAGAACACATATATGAAAATTTTGTAAAAAAAGTACGGCGAGACTATTTTTTATAATGTAACCATTCAGAGTGGATGAAACCATATAATGGACCATCATGAGTTCATTATATGCCTGATAACATCCAAAAACTCAATATTTTCAGCAACAATGATACAGAAACATGAAGATCCAATCATAAAAATTTAATAGTAATAATATGGAAAGTTAAAAATTGCAATAATATTTTCCATTCGTTTGCTTCCTCAAAATTTCAACAACGATGAAACTAAATGGTGCGATCAGTTCACAACGCGTGTATGATGACTGTAGGACAGAAGAAATTCAAGATTACAGTGTAACGAGAGGACTGTAATCGAAACCCTAGGCACCTCATAACAATAGCAAATTCGATTATCCCAATTAGGAGCCGAGATGTTATCAGGTAAATTGAAACCAAAAAAAAAAGTGTGCGATTGTGTACCAGAGCATGTTCTGCGATTTGAAGATTGATTGCTTCGGTGCTTTGAAATTTCGGAGAATTTGAAGGCCTCGCCAGCTCTCTCCCCCCCTCTCTCTCTCCTTCGTGGATATCTATCGATCAATTCCTCACACGTAAAAATAAAAAAAAAAAGGAAAAAGTAAGGCTAGAATAGAGGTGTAATTTTGGCCTGTGGCCGGTGGCCGGTGGCCCGCGGGCGGTCCAAAATTCACTCACAATCTGCGGTGGATCCGGTCTATTAAGGCTCGTTTTGGTTTGAGATTAAGCTTAGCCCGAGGCCTTGGGTCAGGGCCTAGGCTTTCGTTTTGGCAGGGCCTCGGCCCATTGGCCCACTTAAGGCCAGCCTAAAAGCCCGACCCTCGTCGAGGCTCAGTGTTATTTTTAATAAAAAATAATAAAATTTTAGTAAAAAAAATGAAAAAAAACTGTTTAGGCCTGCCTAAGCCTAGGGCCCCGGCCTCGGCCCACTGGCCTGCCCAAAACTCGAATACCATTAGGCCTGGGCCTAATTTTTTGGTCCGGCCTAGCTCAATTTTTGGCGAGAGCCCACAAGGCCTGACATGAACCCTGCCTGGCCTGAGTCCGGATGGGCCGGGCCTGGCCAAAATTACACCCCTAGGCTAGAGATCCAAGTGTTCTATTAATTTTTTTATCAAATACCTTGTATGGGCATGAGGCCCATATCATGTGGGGCTAATATGAGTCCCATATCTATGTGAGATATTTGGTAAATATTTTAATAAAATTTTTAAGATCTCTAACATTTTTGAAAAAGAAATAATATAATATTTAAACATAAAATGAGACATAATTACAAAATTTATGAATTATAACATAATATTAATTAAAGAAGTAAGGTTAGAGATTTCAAAAAATTTTATCAAAATTTTTATCAAATGTCTCATATGGGTGTGGAACTCATATTAATTTTTTATAAATTTTTTGAGATTTGTAGTATGACATTTGTTTGGGGTGTCCTAAATAAGTGTACTTTTTGTTTTTTTGGACTAAAAAATTGAGAAAAAAAATATGGATGTTTGGGTTAACTTTTTGACTTTTTATGAAAAAATGTGTATTAAAAAATTGTATAAAGAAGTGTGTAGGAGAAGATTAGAGACGTGTGTTATACAGCCGTACAATCTACACAGCCGAATTGATGGTAAGAAATTATTGGCTACTTTGATAACTTTTTAACTTTTTAACTTTTTGAGTAATTTTTTAATTTTTTGACTTTTTGACAACTTGCCAAACTTCTTATATGGGTGTGGGACTCATACACATGTGATTTGTATGGGTTCTACATTCATGTGGAATGTTTGATAAAATATTTAGTAATTATTTAGGATTTTAGCCCAACTCTTTGAAAAAATAGTTAAAAATTAATTTTTTAATTTTTTTTTAAAAAAATATTTAAAAAATAATATGATTTAAAATGAATTAAACATTAAAAAATGACTTTTAACTCATTTATCAAATGAGCCATTGGCCCTGTTTGATACAGCTTAATTTCAGCTTATTTCAGCTTTCAGCTTAATTTAAGCTATTTTGATGTGTTTGGTTTAGCTTATAGCTTATAACTTATAGCTTTGTGGAAGTCAGAAAACAGCTTATTCTTTGAGTGGGGCAGGAGATGCTTTAAGAATAAGCTGGAAATCAGCTTAAGCTGAAAGTTATAAGCTATAAGCTGTTTAGGCATAAGCTATAAGCACTTTCCCACAGCTCTACCAAACAGGGCCATTGCCCTTTTCCTTTGCTTTGGTCACAAATCCCTCCTCTTCCCTCCCCTCCCTTCCCATGAGCTGGCGTGGTTTATAATTCCGGTGAGTATAGAGCCAAAATAGTTAGTATTTTAGGCTTATTTTAAAAATATTAAAAGTCACTTTTTAATTTTTAACTTATTTTCTCTCTTATAGAAAAAAAGTAAAAACACTAAAAAAATAAAAAATTTAACTTTTAATCATTTTTTCAAAACACGTTATGATTAGTATTTTAATTTGGTTAAAAAAGTTATATTTAAAAAATTGATTGATTTTTTTTATATAATTAATTTAATGATTGTAGCAAAAAAAATTAAATAGTTATAATTTATTAATGATTTTATCTTATTAATTATTTTAATTTCTTTTATTTTTAAATAAATTATTTTAGTCTAATCCTTCTCCCAATCACTCCATAAGTTTTACGAGTTGTGGCTCTCTGAGATACCAAATAGTGATTAAAAATTGATTCGATCTGAGACACCAAAGAGTGATTAAAAATTGATTCGAAAGTGTTTTATTGCAAAAACGAGTTCACTGGTGGAGGTCCTTCTACACGTATAGATTAAGAATTTTTTTTGTAATAACAGGAGTTTCCTTCGCTACTTGTGTGCCATACACTTTTTAAGTACACTTTTGATAATTTGTGACTAAAAAATAAAAATACGTAAATTGTGATGATTAATAAATGTTTCAATAAAAACATATGTAATATCATCACGTAATTTTATTTTTAAATTAAAAATTAATATAATTCTATCACAAAATTACATAACACTTAAGCTTTATTTGAAAATAAGTTAATTTAGTAATTTTTTGATTTTTTACGAAAAGATATGTAAAAAAGTAGAACGAGTGATATAACAACTTATAGTGACTTTTTGATTAAAACATGTAGTTATCAAACGAGACCTTATCATAAAAATATATATATACAAAAAATGCATAACACCTCTGTTATAGAGTGGGTATCGAAGGATTTCCCTAAACATAGTTATATTTCTAGATAAGTTATCTAAAATAATACTTAAAATTCACAAACTAAATTTATTTTGGATTCAAAGTAGATTAAGTTCATTGTAGATTTCAAAGCTAATGCAATTTTCTCAATAGTTTTTAAAATAGTAATTTTAATTTTTTTTATTAGTTTAGTGGAGAGAGGTTTTATAGAAGTCCCCATATTATTTGGTTTGAGTTGCGGATGTCTATGCATATTTAGTATAATTTATACTGTTTCATAAATCATTTTTAAAGCTTGTTTGATAACACAATTCAGCAATCATTAAAATTGAATCAATTTTAAGTAAAAATGAGATAAGTTGATTTGATAAACAAAACTTGTACCACTTAATCTAATAAGTTTATCTTAAAATTATTTTAAAAAAATTAAGGTAGCGTTTGATAGAGTTTTAGAATTATGATTTGAGAATATAGTTGTATTTTGAGTTTGTGAGTTTTGGAATTATGATTTAAAAAGAGAAAATTTATTTGATTATGAATATTGAAAAGAGTTTTGAATTGAGTGTTGAATTTTTTAAATGAGTTTTAAAATAAGAAAAATTGTTTGATTATGAGTTTTAAAAAGGGTTTTCAAAACTTAATTAAAAAATGTATAACTCATAACCAAACACACAACTCCAAACTTTATAGAAAATTCTATTCAAAACTCATAACCAAACTCTTTTTAAAATTCAATTCTAAAAAATAACTATTGAAAAAATTTATTTAAATTTTTTTTTCATAGAACAATTGTAAAAAATAAAATTAAATAAAAAATAAAAAATCACTGTTCCAGTCAATTGGCCGGACGTTCGGGAGGACGATCGGGTACACTCAAAAATTCAAAAATTGCCCAAGAGGATGTCCAGGCGGACGACGATGACTGGGTAGACCAAATTTCAAAATTCAAAATTCAAAATTCAAAAATTCTGTCTACCACCCATATTTTGGAAAGAGTTTTCAAATATGGGTGTAAAATTAATTTTTGAGAATTATATCCAAATACAGCACTCAAATATGGGTGTGAAATCATGATTACAACTCTACATTAAACACAGTATCTACTACCCTACTATGCTAAATGTATAAGATTTTAGTATTATTTTTTTGTATAATGTTTTTCCATCAAATATTTTCTTGATAAATCTCCATCATCATTGCCACAACTACAATTGCCATATAACTACCAACACCTCCACCACCAAAGCACCGCTACAATTACTGTTGCCACAATTACAACCAATATAAAATCACCACACCTCCACAACCAAAGCACCACCACTACAACCACCATTGCCACCACTTATAACACCATCACTTGCCAAAGGTTTTTTTTTTTTTTTTTGGGATCGGCAAAATAAAAAATTTCATTAAAAATATGAAATTTAAAGGTATGAGGAAAGAAAAGATACATTGAGAGAGATTCGAAAAGTGCAAACTCTCCTATTACTACAACTTGCATTCTTACAACTAACCCTTTAGCCTCACAGTTTTTATTTTTTATTTTAGTTAAGAAAAGAAAATTAAGAAAAAAATAAAAAAGATCAAAACTACTGTGACGACTCCGACATAAGTATTATTTTTATATAATATTTCATTAAGCATAATTTCATGATTATATATTTAATTTGTGCCTATTTGTTTGTTTGTGAATTATATGTTAGAATACTAATTTGGAATTCGAAATTGAAAGTCGAAACGGATTCAGAAACCGAAACTGACTAGTTCAATAGGCTAATTAAAATATTTAGAACCATATGGTAGGTCTAATTAAAATTTGATTCGGATCAAAATAATTAGAATAAAGTGATTAAGATTAGTTAGACTTAGGCCTAATTAGTTAAGCCTAATCTCACTTAATTAACCTAACTTAATCAAACCTATGAATATGGGATATAGGCTTATTGAGTTCATATTCTTCAACTAAGTAGCTGAAATTAGAGATGGAGTGGAGAGCTCAACACTTTAGAGAGAGAAACGAAGAAATTCTAGAGAATTAAAGGAAGATTGAAGGGAATTGAGCTAGTAACATCTCAATTCAAGCTATAGGTATGATCTTTAACCATAATTCATGAAGATAATCCGTGTAGAAAATTGAATTCACTTAGTTGTAGGATCAATTGCATGTAATTGGAAAGGAAATGTTAGAAACAACTTGAATATGGTAGAAATGAGCCAACTGAGTGCATGCATTCATAATTCTCCATCTTTGAGCTTAGTTTTCTACAAATTCATACATGCATGGGACTTACACTTGTTGTTTCTTAAGGTTCTTCACAATTTTATAATCGTCATCTCATATATTAGTGTGTTGAAAAGAAAGGAAGACAATTCATTACATGCATGAAGAATTTGGTTTCAAACTTGGCAATACATGGTGTT